AGTCTACATGGTCCCAAACAATAGCCAGCAGCCCAGTGTGGTTGTTGAGTATCTGCAATGTGGTTCATGCAGCTAAGGAAATGAAGCGTTGAATTTACTTACCTGTGGTTCTTCTCTAGGCATGGTGGTGTAGCTCTGGGGAGTTTGGTAATCAAGCTCTTGGATTTGGTAATTGCCTGCATTCCAGCTCCTATGCTGCTCCTCCCCTCGCCTCAGAAACCAGCTCTCAGGAGGCCATACTGCTTTTCTCACACCTCCAGGGCTCTGCCATTGTCAGCCCCCTTGCTGAAATGGCGTTCCTTATCCACACTTCATAACCTTTGTTCAGATTTCATTTCCTAGGGACAATTTTCTCTACTCCCCCACCCCCACCCCATCTTACCCACCACGAAGAGCTACCTTCATCTCCCCCACATTCCTCTGGGTCTACTTCTTTCCCCCACCCCCCACCCACCACCCCACCACCCACCCCGAGACATGGTTTCTTTGTGTAATTTTGGAGCCTGTCCTGGAACTCGCTCTGTAGACCAGGCTGGTCTTGAACTCACAGAGATCCCCCTGCCTCTGCCTCCCAAGTGCTGAGAGTTAAGGAGTGTGCCACCACCGCCCGGCCTCTGGGCCTATTTCTGTGGCTGCTCTGTCACTATGTAGTTGTAATGTGTTATCTGTGGCACTAATGTCTGTATGAATTTGAGGGCCAGGTCTTACTCATCTCTCATCCTAGTCCTGTATGCCAAGGCATCATATAATACATGTGTTTATTCTAAGTATTTTCTGATTACAACATTAAAATTTAAATATGCACAATGTTCCACTAAAATAATTTTTAAAGCACAACCACTTCATGACCATGAAAACTCCTGGGACCAAAGTCTATTTATTATAAAGCAAATTTCAAAACAATAAAAAGTTCTTGATCAGTTAAAGGCTGAGCATGATAAGGTATACCTTTGCTCCCAGTACTTCAGAAGAAAGGAAGGCAGATATCTGTGAGTTTGAAACTAGCCTGGTCTACATAGTGAGCTGTAGGCCAGTCGGAGCTACATAGTGAGACCCTGTCTTTAAAAAAAAAGAAAAGGAAGGAAGGAAGGAAGGAAGGAGGGAGGGAGGGAGGGAGGGAGGGAGGGAGGGAGGGAGAGAGAGAGAGAGAGAGAGAGAGAGAGAGAGAGAGAGAGAGAGAGAGAAAGAAAGAAAGAAAGAAAGAAAGAAAGAAAGAAAGAAAGAAAGAAAGAAAGAAAGAAAGAAAGAAAGAGAAAGAAAGATCTGGATGTCTCTTGAACTTCAGAAACCGGTCTTGCCATTAATCTGCACCCAGTACCTGTGTTGACTTTTCTGAAAGACCAGAATAAGGTTTAGAAGATAGAGGACATGATTTAAGACTCCTCGTTGACAAAGTCGATTCTTGCTACTCCCTATACTCAATCCAACCTCCAAGAAAAGAATAATTAAAATCTTATCTAACATGGCAAATAATGACTTTGGATGGTGTGTGACTATTCAGTGGCATATGCTACCCAAAAAGAATTGGGAGTTTCCCTTATTCCTTGCCAAAGCTTTTGTGCAAGAAATCCTTCTTTGATGTCTCGTTCAGCATCTGTTACCATATTAACCTGGACTCATAGTCACAGTAGTTTCTTTTTTTTTTCTTTTTTCATCATGATTTCCCAACTAATCTATTATTTGTATTCCCACACAAGCATCCCCATAACTAGAATTGGCTCTGGATGGATACATTTATAAGCCCAGTTTTTATGAGGTATTTCCCAGGAACCAAGGCTCTGGTGGATGTGTGTTACAAATGTGTGTTTTGCCTGCCATCCAGGAACTTCTAGTTCAATAATGAAACAATTGTCACTGCCAGAGACACATTCTGCTGTGCACAGCCGTGTGCAGAAAGAACATGAATCCAAGATACTTCATCTTTGTGTCTGATAGAATTTGACTTCTGCTTTCTTATTCATTTGGTGGTTTTGTTTTCTTTCAAAAGAGCAAGTAGTACTTTTCAATGCAATGACTGACTTAACAAGTCACCAAACCCTTTAGGGCAATAGGATCATTAAGATACAACTCTTGCCAGGTGGTGGTGGCGCACAACTTTAATCCCAGCACCTGGGAGGAAAAGGCAGCTGGATCTCTGTGGGTTCAAGGCCACCCTGGTCTACAGAGCAAGTTCCAGCACAGTCATGGCTGTTACACAAAGAAATCCTCTCTCAAAAAGCAGAAAAAAAAAAAAAAAAAAAAGACACAACTCACATTTTCCCCCAACATTTTAAATAGACTTTAAACAACCTTTTCTTTAGTTTTCCCTTTCCTTTGTCCAAAATATATCTCACACAATTGTAATAGAATATATTTCTAAAAAGAGATAAAGATTTAAGTTCTCTTTGGGGCTTCTAATGAATAATATGAGATAAACATCTTTCCTTAAGACATCTTAAATTTAAATATAGAAGTATCAATTTTAGCTTCCTTATAAAATCCACCCATCTAGAACAAATGCTAGTTAATTCTAAAAGTTGCTTTCTCTATGTTCTTAGAATTACCCATAAATCCTATTAATATAAAATGCACTTGTTTACAAAATGTCTATTGATGCTTGAAAAGGGAAGATCTGGTTTTCAAAGATGATGTTATGAGGTTAAAAAATGAAGATGGTGACCTTAGGTCTCTCAAGATTTGTAAGCCCAGCATGCCATCCGTCTCAATAATGCCTAACAAGAGTGCCAACAGGACAGAAACAGCCATGGCGAGCAAGCGCTTGCAGCTGACAGTGATTGCTGTATTTGAGGTGATGGGGAACAGCATTTCCATTAGTTCAAGTGAAATACAATGCCCTGCCAACTCTGGGTATCAGTATATTCAATCCCCCTGCTGTGCGTGTCCATTTTCTGTTGCTGCAATTAAAAATCAGTCGATACAAAGTCAAAATGTTGTTCATTCTTCCCCTATCCTTTGCCCTGTCACTATGTTTCCAGCTTCACCGGAAGAACATGTCACTATGGTAACCAGTCCCTCTGATGCACAGACCAAGTCAACCTCTCTAGTCAGATTGCCAAGCAGGCGAAATGGAATCAGAGACCTGGATGGAGCCACCAGAAGCCACAAATCCCATTCCCCTCTCTCTCTAAATAGGGTCAGCCAATGCCAGACATGGGATACCAGTCTTGTTCTAAAAGGTTTAAGGAAGGAAATTGAAGAATGCCCTTCCACAAGTCTTGTCAGCGCTCACCAGTCATTATCAGCAGTTCTCCCCAACAGTTCGGCTAGCTACCTATCATTTCCGTTTTAAAGAAAGCAAAACATAGATAAAATAACACCATTAATCTGAAAACAGTTATAAAGTCCCCCTTGTGAAAAATAATTATGCTTCCTCTTGTTTTCCTGCTTCTCGGCCAAGCCCCGTAACATCTTGTGCATCCTTACAAAGTTGCAGAGTTCCACCTGGGTCAGTCCACACTAATAAGAGCCTTGTCAGGAAGCAGGTGGGATGCCTGTAAGCACCAACATGCCCATGCCTAAAACTGGAATCCCTAGTCATTCCCAAGAAGCTATACAACAAATGTCAAGATGGACACTCACTCTCTCTTCCCTACCTCTCCTGCTCACCTCCTAACTGTGAAATGGCCTCCTGGAACATACCCACTACTTGTCATTCTTACATGGTTGGCTGGTGGTGGTGGTGGTGGTGGTGGTGGTGGTGGTGGTGGTGGTGGTGGTGCATGTGGATGGGTGTGTACATGCGTGTGTGTTTTCAAATTAACAATTTCTTTTGAACAGCCTCGACACTTTTGTAAATCAAAGTGCATCTCTTCTCTTCAGATATTATTTTAAAACATCAGTGAACTTCATGGTGATATGAGACATTAAGAGTCGCTTTATGTCTCGGCTTCAAAGCATATTTGCAAACATTAGCACAGTTGTCAACTACTCACGAGTTGAAGAGAGTGACACATGAGGAGAGAAGCAAGGTCTAAAATCTACACATCTTCCCAGGGAGCAGCCATCATAGAAAAGAATACAGTCCCCTCCTCAGAGCGACATTACAGCACATCATATCCAACAGTATTTCTAGTGGGGCTGATAAGACAGGATGGTTTCCAACATATAAATCACTCAGGGCTTACAAACTGCATCACATAAGGAGACTTTTCTATACATGTGATCATATTCAAATATCAAGTGTTATAGCAAATATTTGCTTATTATCTGTTTTATATATAAAAACCTTGAGTGTTTTTATATAAACCTGAAAATAGTATTTTTTCCTTCTGATAAACCCGCTCTGGTGTCACTTTTTTGTGGTTATTAGACTGGTGATATTCACTGCAAACCGTCACTTCTGTCAACCGCTTTTCCAGAAGAAGAAATAAAGGACTGTAAAGGAATGCTACTGGATAACCGCTTTGGGCTACTACAAGGCAGGGGCTGTAATTTATTGATGTGTATATGGCCAATACCTACACCATGACTTCTTCGGTGTATTTCTAAGTAAATGTTTCTGGGGTTCATACGGTCTTCTGTGGGAGTCACCCCCCAACCCCGAGTTTCCCTTGATGGAATCAGTTCAACATCTGAAACAAAGATTAAAATTCGGAGCCAGTTACCCCTGACACATGATCACCCTTAAAGGGCTTCCTCCAGAAACAACATTGGAGATTCCCTTCCTTCTCAGAGGCTGATGAAGCATTAGTCTGGACTAAAAAAAAAAAAAAAAAAAAAAAAAAAAAGATGGCCCAGGAGATTCCATGCGAATCTGGATAGACAAGAGCAAGACAGCAGGTAAGCGAAAGAGAGTGAAGCCTTTACCACAATCTATTACAGCTTTGGAAAGGCAAGTTCTGCCCACGCCAAGGCTCAGTCAGTCAGGCCTGGCGAACTGAACCACTCAGAACCAGGAGATGCCATGGCCTGTGGCCACCAGGAGAGGCGAGGGGCTGCAGGGCCTACCTAGAGGCGCCGGGCTCTCTGCAGCGCCACGCCTCGCGCCGCCTCGAGCTTACCTTTCCGGATGAGGGCGGCGATCTCCGGGTCGAAGCCCTGCCGGTGGCACTTCCTCCAGAGGCCCATGTTGGTGGAGTTGTACTGCCGGCTGCACTCGTCCGCCGGGCTCATGGCGAACAGCTGCCGGCGATTCCGGGCCCGGAGGAGTTTGCCCTCCCAGCGGTCCAGGCGCGAGCGGCTCGCGCGCAGAGGCAAGTTGTTGTTGTTGTTGTAAATGAAGCCGGGGTCGACCCGGCGGGTGTTGAAGGCCTTGCACCTGTCCCTGTGCTTCCGGGCGTCCGTCTCGTACCAGTGGTCGGAGCAGATGGCCACAGCCAGCATGCCGAGGGCGCAGAGCGCTAGCGATAGCCCAGTGTAGAGCAGTAACCTTCCGGCAGCCATGCCTCCGCTTGGCGGCTACACCATGGGCATGATCCGCCGCAGCCTCGCCTTCCCTCTGCGCGCCCGGAACAAAGCGGCGGGCGGCCGAGCTGGGGGTGGGGACTGGAAGGGATCTGCGCCGCGGCGACCCCTTGGCCCCCACCTGCGGGTACGAAGCCGGGAGACTGCGGGGATCGGGGCGGGCAGCCTAAAAAGTTCTGATCCGGAGAGACTCCCGCGAGGTCCTGAGCATCCTCCGGGCTGGTGCAGCCTCCTCCGGCGGTGGCGAACTCAACGCCGCTACTTCCCACCGCTCGGGAGGGTTAGGACAGTCGGCGCGCGGCCCGACAGCCGCAAACTAAATACCAAGTGCTCTCGACCGCGGCGGGGTTTGCTGGGGTTCTCTGTGCTGACCGGAGTGACTGTCCTGGCTTCCTGGGAATGATAGAGAGGGCGTGTGAGGACGCGGCACTCCGCCGAAGGAATGGATCGAGCCCGCGCCCGGCTGCCCTGGATCTCCTTCTCCCGGACTCTCCCCTTTTCGATCTGAAGCCGAAGGCCGGGAATGCGCGCCCAAAACTGTTCTTCCTCTCCCCGTCCGGTCTTTTCAAAGCCTCGGTCCTCTGATCACCAGTAGGTCCTTAGCTCCTGCCGGCCCACGCGTGCTCTCAGAGGTGAGCTGCCCGAGGACGCACGGTCTCTGACAGCCTTTCCCCGCGAGCTCCCGGATGGCCTGCCTCTGGCCTCGCCATTCAGACTGCCTAGCTTTTGGGCAAGCGGGGACACCCAGGCGGCGTTAGGCGACTATTCCCGGCCCGGGGTTTGCAGAGACTGGGCGGCAGCTGACGGGCGCTAGGGGCGGGCTGCACAGAGGAGGGCGCACCCCGGGCTCTCGGAGCTCCTTCAATACCATGGACAGGTCGCTCAGGGATGGCGTGCAGCCGGCCCAGCCGCCAGCCTCCTCGGTGTCATTCCGCTCTTTCCAGCGCCTTCTTCCTGGAGTGTGTACACCCAGCCTCCTCCAAGATCCCCTCTGCCTCACTTCACCTGGCCTCCCGCAGCCCCGCGTGGGAGCTGCCCAGGTGCTAATCAAATGCTGCGGGCACGAAGAAAACCCAGGACCCGGCTGCTCGAAGCAACCCGCCCCCTTCTCCGCCACCTGAGCCCAAGCAGTCCAGCACCCGCTTGCTCTGGCCAGCTGGGGTCAGCCGCTCTCAGATTGCACCATTTTCTTCGCAGCCCACCCAGGCGACGAGGCGCGGGGTCCCTCGGCCTCGTGCGGAGGATCCCGTCCCGGCCTCGGCGTCCCGCGATCCGGCTCCCCGCACTGTGGTGAATGGGGCGAGGGTGGGGGGTAGGGAGCCTGAGTGCCTCGGCTTACCCTCCTCCCTATCTCCTCCTCGAGCCGCGGAGGCTTCCGGGCCTCTCAGGCTTAGCCGACGCCCGCGAGGAGCGAGAGCCTAGCCTGCGCCCCAGGGGCTCCAGAAATCGCATTGCCCGGGTGTGGGCGCCCGAGGAAGCCGCTGTCACTCGCTCGGCCTCTAGGCGCTGCAGCCTTGGCTAAAACCCACAGTCGAGAACACGGAGCGCGCAGCCAAAAGCTAGTGATGTCATCCGTGCAACGTGAGCCTCATCTCTTATTTTTCTAGCCTTCTTAAAGTTGAACCGCACCATTTCCCAGGCACGAAATGTCTGAGCCTTATTCTTTGGCCAGGCAAGTCAATGGTGTCTAGGTAGGTATGCACTCCATCACATCCATATTTATGCACATATACATATATGTGGCATGTAGCGTGTTTACGTGTATTATTATAAATTTAGGCTTGGTGCCCACGTCTCCTGTTTCTCTTTTGACCGTGGAAAATTCCCTTAAATTCGCCACAGTTCTTTAAAGAAAAGAATGCTTAGAGAACCGTCTTTAACCAGCGCTGAGTGAACCCCTGCGCCCCGGGTTCCGGGCGCTAGTGTCTCCTGTTCGTTTGATCTTTGTCGCCCCCGCCCCCCCCCCCCCCCACAAAGCCATAAGCACTACATTGCTAGCTACTGGCATTTCCACCTGGAGCTGAGCAGAGAGCAGCCGTAAGGCTCTCAGTCAGCTCTAAGCCAGCGCCTGAAACAACACACACACACACACACACACACACACACACACACACACACACACACACACACACACACCCCTGCCCTGACTCTTCAGCAAGAAAAGGAGACAACTGACTGATCCGTTCAAGACCAGAAGAGAATCGCAATGGGGTGGAGAGGGCAGTTGTAGATGTGTTGGAGGAGAGGGAGAGTTAAAGCAACCTCGGTGTAGGGTTGGTTTGTCATGATCTCTATCTGAGACCGCGGGATTTAGCCTCTGCGGGGCCTCTTTGAGGTGGAACCGGACTCCAGACCTTGAAGGGGTGGGCCCCAGCCAGCGAATCCATCCCCACCCTACCCCGCCCCCTGCTTCTCTCACTTGAGACAGCGCCGCAAAGGCTGGGAGCCTCCCACCCAGCTCCGCACACTAGGGTTTTCATTCTAAAGCTCACCCTTCGTTTTCACCCTCTCTCCAAAGTCGAGGTCCCCCATTGCGGGCTAAAGAGCTGCCCTAGGGGAAAGAGAGTGCCCTAGGCACCCAGCCTTGCACAGCAGGACTTGTGAGTCGAAATGAACGCACCTCCACCATATTCTTTTTGTCTTTATTTTTTTTTTCCTGCCTGCATTTTGAAAATCGCGAACAAGGCGTTTCAGTGCCCTCTAGTGGGGGAGGGGCGTGCCTCGTTTTTTTGAGCCTTGAATTCTGTGAAGGGATTTACTACATGAAGAGAAAGTCCTTAGGATGCCCGCTTGGTTTCTTGGGTGCTTGGCTGGTCTAGAAGTTGCAGGCACGTGCTCTAGTCCCCATCACCCTCAGAGTTCCCTGGGATGCCCTGGTAGGGCTGAGCAACTTTGCCCATGGTGTCTTCTCACCTTCCTCTCTCATCCATTCTCCTACTTATGCCCTTGAAAACAGAGATGCATTTTGCATACACGCAGACACCTGAAATCTCTAAAGCTATTTCTTCCCGAAGGCAGAGCGGAAGTGCTTCTCAACTAAGAGGGCTCCTGCATATGACAATAGAAGGGAGCTGAACCTACAAGGTCAGTGGGAAGTCAGAGCACAATTAGCACTGTAGCCCAGGTCTCCTGGTTCCCTTTCCAGTCTTCAGCACCAGCTCAGGACCTTTGGCAGTGGGCATGTACAAAAGCACAGGCGGTCCTCTTTTCAGCCACTCCCCCTGCAACCCACCCTCAGTCCATTCTTGCTCCACTTCTTAGCTTCTCCCCTAGCTTTCGGTCTGCTTTCAAGGATGTGCTTGGTCCATCATCCCGTGGTCCTCAGTGTCTGAGACCCAGCTTAGGAAGGGGACCTATGCGGGATACTGCCTTCCCCTTTCCTGAACTAACATTCCATTTTGAAGTTGTCAACCTTTGTGGAAACGCAAGCATCCTACAGATGATGTTGATTGGTACCCTCCTTTTCAGTGTAATTGTTTTGAGCAGCTGTGCAGCCATATATTATGGGGATGACACTGATGCCTGGGGCTAAATAGTTGAAGGGGGGGTGTCTTCATCTAAACAGCATATCTTTTTTGTTGTTGTTGTTTTTGGTTTTGTGGAAGTTTGGGGTTTTTTGTTGTTGTTTTGTTTTGTTTTGTTTTTTAGATAGGTTTTCTCTGTGTAGGCTGGCTGTCCTGAAACTCATCCTGTAGACCAGGCTGGCCTCAAACTCAGAGATCCGCCTGCCTCTGCCTCCCAAGCACTCAGATTAAAGGTGTGCACCACCACCACCTGACTTAGACAGCATTATCTTTTAGTTGTTGTTGTCTTTGTGTGTGTGCTGTCCTGGGAACCAAACTGTTGTACAGTCTAGGCAGGTGTATATCCCTGCCTTAGCGTTCTATAGCTGTGAAATAGACTCCATGACCAAGGCAACTCTTAAATTAATATGAAAAAGTTAATAAAAGAAACTTGCTTACAATTCCAGAGGTTTAGTTCATTATCATCATGGCAGGAAGCATGGCTGCATGCAGGCAGACATGGTGCTGGAGAAGTAGCTGAGAGTTCTACATCTGTATCCACAGGAAGCAGGAAGAGAAAGCCACTGGGACTGGCTTGGGCTTTTGAAACCTCAAAGCCCAGCCCCAATAACACTTCTATGTACTCTAACAAGGCCACACCTCCTAATCCTTCTCAAGTAGTGCCATTTCCTGTTGATTAAGCATTCAAATATATGATTCTCTGGGACCATCCTTATTCAAATATTCAAATGACCACACACACACACACACACACACACACACACACACAACTTTTTTTTTTATTTTATTTCTTAAGACAATATGTCACTAAATTACCCAAGCTGGTCTTGAGCTTGCAGTCTTCCTGCCCAACCTTCTAGGTGCTGAGATTGCAGCTGTTAACTACCACAGTCCATTATGATTTACTCTTTCTAACTCTATGATCTAGCTTCAAATTCCTCTACCCTGTTAGCTATAGCATCTCTTTTTTGTGTTTCTTCCTGCTCATACTAACACTGTCCTAAAGTCATAAAACCTCAAAATCAGAAGCAACTCCAGAGTCAAACACAAAATGATGTGAAAATCTTGGGAAAGTTTCCCAGAAAGTGAATGGCCAGCTTCTGCTCACACACTTGACACAACAAAGAAGTCCATCTCTGGGCAAGCAGCCCACTCTATTACTGGGTGATCTGGCTGGTCAAATAGTTCTTTATACTGAGCCAGACTCCATATCCCTCCAACTTCTAGCCATTGGCTCTTACGTTTGCCTTCAGAAGCCCAGGGATGGTATCAGATCCATCTTCCATATAGCCATCCTCCTCATACTTGATATCAGCCATCATGAAGCCACTTTTTCTCCATAGAAAGGGCGTTTAGACAGTGTCCATTTACCCATTCTTTCCCTGTGTTGCATTCAATGGTCAAGTGTACAGCTAGGAAGGAAATCTGGCATTTACATGAGTGATATAGAATTCTAATGCATCCCACTTCTCCTTGCAGGAGCCCACAAGTCATCATCTTCTTATGCTCTCTTAGGATCACTGATTTTCAGTTTGTGGAATCCACATTTTTTTAATTAAGAACTCTTCACTTAGACACATACCTTTGATTGAAGCAATGTTCATACTCTGCCAGCTTTTTCTAAGTCAGCAACAGAGATTGAGACATCATCAGATGCTCTCTTCATTTCCTGGAACACTGTACACCTAGAGCAGAGATACTTTCCTACACTTGCCTCACACCTGTTCTGGTTAATTTTCATGCCAACTTGACACAAGTTAGGGTCATTTGGGAAGAAGAAATTGTAATCAAGGAACTATCTCTATAGGATTGGAATATAGGAAAGTCTGTAGGGCATTTTCTTGATTGATGTGGGAGAGCAAAGTACATTGTGAGTGGTACAGCCCCTGGGCAGGTGATCCTGGGTGCTAGAAGAAAGAAGGGTAAACAAGCCAGTATGAAGCATTCCACCGTGGCCTCTGCTTCCGTTGCTGCCTCCAGGTTCCTGCCTTGAGTTCCTGCCCCAACTTCTCCCAGTAATGGAGTGTGACCTGAGACTTGTAAGATGAACTAAACCCTTTTCTCCCCAAGTTGCTTTTGGTCATGGCATTTTATCACAGCAATAGAAAGTTAACTAAGACAACACCTTCCACAAGTCTTCAGCTGCCATATTTGTTCTACCCACATACCTCCTCAATCTACAAATTCTCTCCTTCACATTGTCAACTATAAGCCAAACAAAACAAAAGCTGGCAAATATATATATCAGTATTCATCCATGGAAAGCTCTGTGTGTGTGTGTGTGTGTGTGTGTGTGTGTGTGTGTGTGTGTGTGTGTGTGTAGTCTCACTACGTAGCTCTGGCTGTCCTGGAACTCACTAACTCACTATGTAAACTGGGTTAGCCTCAAACTTCTAGAGATACACCTGCCTTTGCCCCCCATGTACTGGAGTTAAAGATGTAGTTCTGTTTTCATAATTAGCTTTGCACAATTTGGACATTGTGCATAACCCCAAAGTGATTTTGAGCTTTGGCCCTTCCTGTTGTGGAACAATCTTTTTATACAATGTGAAGAAGTGTCACTCCAATTGGTTTAATAAAAAGCTGAATTGCCAATAGCTAGGCAGGATTTCCAGGCACACAGGATGCTAGGAAGAGAAAGGATGGAGTCAAGAAGAGACATAGAGGAACCAGGAAATCAGGATGGACAGTATGCAGATGAGGTAAACAAGCCTCAGGGCAGCACATAGATTAATAGAAATTGGTTAATTTAAGTTATAAGAGCTAGCTAAAAACAAGCCTACACTATCAGCTGAGATTTCACAATTAATAATAACTCTTCCTGTCATGATTTGGGAGCTGACTGGCAAAACAGAGAAAGACTCCTTACCAATTGCGCCCAATGTGGGGCACAGTACACATAAGACCCGAGAAAGCTTTAAAAAAAAAAAGGGGGGGTTCCAAACACAGAAAAACAGAGTCAAGCACGATTTCCTAATCCTGCAGTCTCTCATGCAT